TGGGCTGAGTTATCACTCCTAGAGAAGAAGCAGGCAATGGGGACTTATGTCTTGCTCTGGTAGCATGTGGGAGGGCAGGTGTTTGCATTGGGGCACTCGGTGTGGCTCTGGGAAGACACTGGGGTGATTTGGTACAGTGTGCCAGGAGGAATCCTGCTCTCTGCCACTGCTGAAAGCAGTGAATAAAGTGCCTGCTTACAAATACTGCTGCCCTGTGCCCCTGGCAGATCATGAGCCTGAGCTTGTGTGCTGTGGCCCAACAGCTTCTGGTCCATAGTCTACTGCTGTCAGGGAGGCTAGGTGTCAGGAAGGATGGAGTTACTGCTTAAAGACCTGCAAGCTGCACAGAGAGGAGTCAGGGAGTCATTTTACCTGTGCCAGACTTGAAAGGCCTACTCTCTTAGAGAACGGGGGAAAAAACATTATTGTGGGGAAATTAACGATATGTCACTGTATGGTCCTCCTCTGATTTGTGTGTTATTTTGTATTCAGATGCCTGTTTGAAGACAGGCAATGATGGAAAGCTGGGGAAATAAGTTTTCAGCTATTCCAGAACATTCTGGTGATAGATAGAGACTTTTGGAAAAACCCTAATAACATGATATTTTATTTTTACTTCGGTCCAGGTTTCTATTTCCTCCCCTCTGGCCTTTTATAAATTTCAGAGTTACACAAACACTTCCTAAGAATGCCCTTCTCCCTGCCTGTATGTTGGCCTTGCACATAAACAGGGAGAGCTTGAAATCTGGTTGTGAAAGCTCCCCTTTAATTGGGCAATAACAGCCTCATCTCCAGCACTATTCATTTGACATAGTAAAGTAATTGTTCTTTGTTAATGATGGGAGCTGTTTCCTATTTCAAAGGTTTTTTTACCTGTGTTTTACACCAGTGACATTCATGTGCTGCTGTTTTCATAATCAGAAATGGGCTGTTAGTTTATATGGCATTTTTCAAGATTCTTCTCTATAACAAGTAAATATTGAATTGCCTTTGCATATTTTAATTCACCTTAATCTGTTTGAGTTGTATTGGTCAAATGTTTGTGTGATATGAATTAAGTAGTGTGACTTTTGTACATTTTTCTTCTAAATTGAAACCATTTGAAGGTGCAGAGGAAAGAAGAAAAAGTTTATTTCTTCTCTGACAAGGTAAAGCCTGACAAAAGTAAGTCAGACAAAAACCCCCAAAAGCTCCCACTGGATATGTTTATTGAAATATTCAAATAGAATTTATTCTCTCTATAGAGTGAAACTATGGTGGCATATGGGGAAGTAAGATATATTACAATAAAACTGATATAAAACAGTTGAATTTAGAAATAGTGGCAGGAGATAATTTTAGTTCATTATGATTTAATTCAATTAAATGCAACACTGTTAACTGCAGACTAAGAAGTATTACTTGTGCCTGTGCGGGCGCACACAAGCATTATTTATTCTCTGCCGCATCTCTCTTTGCAGAAGAAATTACACCAGTAAAAGGGGGGTGCTCAACGCTTTCATAGCACTATAAAACCCTCTATACCTCACAGACCTCAGTGGAAATTTGACCTGAGCAAGGAGAAACAATGAAGTAAGGTGTTGGAGAGTAGACCCCTCCAAACCCAGGAAGATGTCCTTAGGTAGGATATGCTCTTTGAATGTCAACAATGTTGGAACAGGCTTGTGGATTAATTTACCAGACAGTGCCTCAAATGAGGGGTTGGCACCAGGGAAAATATATCTTCAGAACCAAAAACATCCATCAGAACAAGCTGCTCAGTCTGAGCTGCCTGTGCCTTGTCTATCCCAGGCACTGCTCTGAGTTTCCCAAAGGAGAGAAGTGACTGATCCCTGTCCTCCTCCTATGCTGTTCCCTGCTCTGTACCTGGGCACAACAGCTCAAACCCGCAAAGGCATTCAAGGTCCATGGATTTCAATCTGAGCTATCTGCCTAAATGCCTTTGTGCATCCGTGCCTAAGGGCCATGCTGGCCATGTCCCAAATCCCAGCTCAGGCTCACAGCTGAGGAGGAGGTAATGAAGGGCAGGTGGCACAGGACTCAGCTCCCTCCTCTCTCCCAGGGCTTTCTGACCCTGCAGGTGTGAGATGGTGAGCTGAGAGTGTGTTTGTTGTAGCAGTGGGAAAAGGTTTAGCATGGACCCAAAGGCACCTGTATGAATGCTTGGCATGATGGCATAGAGTAACAGGTAGAAGCTTGGCTGGGATTTTTGTATGGATCCAACAGAAAGAAATTTCTTATTTGTCAGGTATGTTTTATTTGACTGTGTAAACTGAGAGGTGTGACACTGTCCTACCTGGGTCAGGGACCCAGTGCTCATGCTTAAGAACTCCTTATAGACTTTATAACCTCAGACCCTGTAGCAGATGGGTGTATTATAAAGTCCTTGCTTATGTTTCATGATTATGTGTTTCCATCATTGCATGGTTTAAACACCCAGCTCCTGTAGCTGCAAACAAAAGGATGCTCCCAGTCTCAAAGAATGAGTCTGCAGTTTAAATCTAGGATAAAAGCAAATGAACAATAACTGTGAACGAGAAACAAAGAAATAGAAGTTTAATAGTGACAATGATTACCCTTACATCAGCTGTTTGACCACTGCCTGTTTATATGTAAGCTATCAGAAGAGCATATACTGTTGAATTCTTAAGACAAGAGTCAGCCTGGGAAGCAAGAGAGAAAATGAAAAGGGGGCTGTGACAGAGCAGTGATTTATTCTGTGAATGCTTTGGGATTGTTTGATATTGCAGGTAACTGTCTTTGATCACAGCCTTATAACCATCACCTTTAATTTGTAGCACAGAGGTTACTATCTAGCACCCAGCTAGCCAAATGAAATGTATGGCTTGATTAAGGATCTCTTTTGTCAGTAATTTGTGCCTAATGTTTTTAGCTTTCCCACGGGTTGTTACAGAAAATGGTAAATCTGGTTTAAATGAAACCTGATACTGTTAATGGTTTAATAGCAGCTGCCACAGGGTTATGGCATTTTTCAACAGATGCTTCTGTTTCATTTTAAGCCTAAACTAAGTCTTAGAATATATTTACATAATTAATATAAAGTACACGTACATAATAATGACAATATTTATAATTTTAAAATATTTCCTTAAATGACTTTGCTGTTATCTAATCACAATATAAAACTTGAAAAAGGAAGGCATATTATTAGAAATAATAATTTATATTCACCTCTTCAAAAAAAGTTGTGGATGCAGCGTGACTGTGAGCACTTGTCATCTAACATGGCAGTTATTGGTGTAGGCAAATCCCTTACTGCTTCAGAAAAAGAGACAAAAAGCTTTGCTGCACCTGAGTTATGCTTGTTATCTTACCTAACAGGTAATAGATAATTACCTCTGTTCGGCCAGGAGTATAAAAGTGATGCTTATATTTAAATATACGCATCAAGAAAGAGCTGTGTTGAGGTGTGTACTTAGAAATATTTGAAGTAGTAAAGATTTTTGGATGATTGTTGGCTGCACAATGTTGTCTGATTGAGGAAGCTCCTGCTAATTTAAGAAGAATTTGGCATTTTAAGATGTTCATAGTGGGTGATTGGTTTGAATGGATCTCTTTTATTTGGAGGTCTTATTCTTGACTTCCAAGAAGTACTGAGGGTGTATCCTACAGGACATTCAGAGTGAGAGGATGCTGCTGAACATTGTGGCCTTCTACAAGTATGTGTCTGTTCACAGTGAAGAGAGAAGGAGAAAAGGCTCCTCTTTCTCTGCCTTGGCTGGAAGGCAAGGTAATGTTGAACAGGCAAGTGTACCAAGGCATTTGCTGCTGCGAACTGTGAAGACTGAAATGGGAACAGTAAGACATGAAAAACATGCAAATAACAGAAAATTGTCTCTATTAAAGAAGCATCCAAGATTGTTTATTTAAGAGATTAGGCAGTCGCAGTTCTCTCAGGAGAATGTGTAGGAGCAGTGGTGAAGCAGATGTTTCACTGTGTGAAGGATGTAGCTGATATATTTGCTCCCCTTGTCCCCAGGGTGACTACCCTTCATAGCTGTTAGCCTGGGTATGATGGCAGTCATCTTCTGTGTTCTAGCTTTTGTGAAAGTTTTGTTTTATTTGTCCTTTTGAATGTATTAGAATTGTTCAACAGCACCTGGGTCAATGCCCACTTTAATTAATGAAAACAGTTCAAAATGTGGCATAGGACCAAATTTCTTTTTTTTTTTTTTGTGTTTAGCCTTCTTTCTTCTTTACCCACCAAAACCTTACAGATGGATTTACATAAGTTCATTACTTCAGAGTGTTTCTTCACCACTTGATTTCAAGTCTTTGCTATGGGAACACAATTGCTTCAGGCCCTAAGGCACTGGTAGTTCTCTTTCACACCTCCAAGCTGCTCAGAAGAATATCTATACTTATCTTATGAAAAGTGTAAACTGTGTTTGTCAGTTCTCTGTGAGAACTTTTTACCTTAAAATACTTTTAAACCCTACTCTGAGGTTCACATACTTTTCACTAAGAGCTTTAATTTGAAGGAAGAAAGCTATTAAGTACCAACATCGTTCCCACAACTGGGTGGAGAAGAGTTTGTGACTCAGTGAGGAGCAAGTTTGCAAGTGTTCTTATTGGGTGTTTGGATGAACCTTCCAAAGCTGCTGCAAAACTAATCCAGTGGTGAATCTCAGCAAGCCCTCACAGGGACACCTCAGATTTCCAAGTTGGTTTGTTATTCACTCTGAAAGATTTCTAGTGGCAATGTTTTACCACCACTGGTAGAGACAGAGTATGAATGCTTTCTGAAAGCAAAGGGGGAAAGAAAAAAATCATAAAATAACCACACTAAAGAAAGCACAGAATTTTTTGTTGGAGTGGAAAATTGTTCAAATATATGATTTTTGGGAAGAGTTGTTAATGGTTTTGGCATGCAAAATTGCACCAAAGGTATGATGTTTGTAGAGCTTTATATGAGAAAAGAAACTCAGTTCCCTTGTGATGTTTTTGTAACAAATAAATCTTTCTTCCTCCTTTTCTAGGTTCTACCAGATAGAAAAGCTGTGAAACTAGGCATGGTACTCCTCTTTGAACTCTTCCTTCTTCGTGGCACCTATACCTGGATTGATCGAGAAGTGGGATGGGGAGCTTTTCCCTTATGTGATAGCAATCTTAATGCTTTGGAGGGAAAATTTAAATGTCCCTTCCTCAGAGGACATTATGACTCCAGAATTGACCGATTCAAAAAAATTGAAAATTTTATTTCTCAGGACTTGGATCATTGGTTATGCAATCTCTACTTTCAGGTTTGTGCTTTAAAAAATTGTTTCGTTTTCTGTATATTTTTCTTTTTGATTCTGAAATTGGATTGTGACTCATCTCCCATTTACTGGGATGTCTGCTTTAATCAGTAAGCATGGGGAAGAAATACACAGGAAAATGATATGGGAGAAAAGTGTAGTAAACAGAGTACAGAGAAACAAGAACTTCCTAAAATTCTTATAACAACATCTTGGACTGCTGGGCTTCATAAACAGTGTACAACAGGCATGTTCTGGCTTTGTGGAATTCCAAACTACTTTTTTTTCTTTTTCTTTCTCTTCCTAGATAATTAAACTACCACAGGATTCAGATAAGTGGAATAAGCATGGTATGCATGTTCATCTGCCACCTGAACTTCTTATGTATTCAAGCACTGCTGAAAAGAATGGTGTCTCAGAAAGTGTTGTACAGTCTGGACCACAAGGTGATGGATTCAAACTTTGATGTTTACATTCAGGTTTTCACTGGATCAACCCAACATTTCAATGCTGGCCAGCCATTATTGTTCTTGTTAAGCTAGCTTTTCTTCATTCAGATGTGCGTCCAACATGTGTTATAGCAGGAATACTCTGACTTTTTTTATTAAGGTGATTTAACTTAGTTTTCAGGTGTGAACAGTTTAAACCAGCCTCATTGCTGAGGATGGAATGCTGGCCTGTGCTTAAGGCTGAATAATGCTTGGAATGTTACAGCAATAACAGTTCAGCTGTTTATGGCTCCAAGCTTACAGGAAGAGAAAAGAAAAAGATGCTTTTTGTGTACTTCTGGAAGAACTTTAGCACTTCCCTGGGCTACATTAAGGACTTCAGATTTGGCAGGGAGATAGTTCTGACATCAGAAGCATGCCTTATGCTACTCCTCTGAAATTCTTTTAAAATTCAATCAAGTGATAACTCTTAGGAAGGACAATTATAATTTGCTTGTGTACAGCAGACCTCCCCAGATGCTTTCTGAAAAAATCACTGAATGTTCTTTTTAAACTGATCCTCCCTGGCCTCTGTGAACCTTCCTATGTAGCTACACTGAGGACACAACTGACCATATTGCAGTGGACTCACAAATTGCTCCTCTACTAGTAGAAATCCAGTAATGAGAAGAATTGTAGGATGCTGCTGTTGTTCTTTTCCTTTTTCAGCACATCGCATGAGACTTACATGCACAAAAAGAATTCATTTTCGCTATACAGATATTTCTATATTCCCTCTTGTTTAATGAACTGAAGCATTCAGTCAACTCATAGATTGTAGTGTATGTATGAATATTATGTATAGATTGAAAGCAGAGAATTATTTATTCAGGACAGAGGTTCCTTAGGCATTTGAGAACAGCAGTAGTGATGCACTGTAGTGGGCACAGAAGGATAAAGAAGAGGCTATGGAAAGGAAAGAAAGAACGCATAAGCAATAATAATTTAGCATGGTAAATGGGCAGCTCAGGTTGGAAGCATAATTTGAAAAGAGTCCAGGACAAGTATTTTTCAGACAGTTAGTGGTGATTTAAAAGATAAAGAAAATGAGGTTTGCCCTGAGATGCTTTTAGGCTAAGCAGCAACTGCACTGTGATCAAAAGGCTTTTATATATCCGCCCTGATAAGAGAAGCATGGAGGTGTAAACATACACTATACTGAGGATTAAAGTCTTTTTTGTTGTCATATATCTTCTACATATCTGCCAGGTTGCTTTGAGATGCAGCAAACCATGAATAGCGGATCCAGAAGGTAGAATTGCAGGCAACACTGATCAGCAGTGAAGAAGTATGGACAAACTCTCAATGGATCAAACTTGTTTGGTCCTACCATCAATCTTCACATGCATTTGGAACTGCACACAGAGGGTGCAGCTAAATCTGTCATGGTTTCTGGAAACACTTGGAAAACTTGTGATGTTCAGTTTGAAAAGTCAAGAAAGACATGGTTTTAAGAACTGAAAAAAGCATTAGTGTGGGTCCTCTTTTGCATGTAGACCTCTGAAATTTTCAGATAAGGCAATCATGGAAGATCTGTAATTTTCCTGCCAAACACATTTGCACAAACTAAACTTTTAGGGGTAATTTTTGATATTGCTTATATTTATTTATTTTTCTTGGAGCATTCTTTAAAGATATTATTAGCTGCCAATATCCCCCATGGGTTTGTTTTTTAATGTATCTATGCAGTACTACAGTATGCTGTTTCTGCTGGTGATATGTTGCTAAGAGATTTAATAATGGGTAAACAAACACAACATGTGGTAATCCTTTTCAAATTAAAAGTTTATTAAATGCTAGCTTGATGACTTTCTGGCTATTTACAATTAAAGGAACAAACCTTAGAGAACTGGAGGTCACGTGGTGAAAATCACAACAAACATTTTCAGCAGAAAAATGTGTTTATGATCTGTGGCAAGCTGTTGCACATTGATATGTCCTATAAATTCAGTATTATATCTGTTAAACCACCAAAAACTGGGATGGGGAGGGGAAAGCTCTGCTAGAGTGACATTAAGGTTGAGACACAAGCCAGAGAAAGCAAGAACAGTCTAAATGAAGAGGGGTGCTCTGTAACTCACTCTACTGCAGTAGTCTAAATAGTGAGTGATCTTACATATCAATACCATATGTGGTACTGCAACATATAAGAGAAATAAAGCAGGTTAGGAGATGGTGTTTTAGCCTTCACTTCAAGTTTGTCTTGGTTTTAGAAGCTTAAAACAGAGCCTTCATATTATTTCCATTAACTCCAGGCTACATTATTCTTTTAAGCCACAGCTCCATGTAGGGCTAGGTAAAGCTCTTCCCTGCTGCACAGGCTCTCTGGTCTAGAGCACAGTGCAGAGAAATGCAACATAATGCCTCCCATTCTACCTCCTTGGCAGATCAAAGATGCACATTATCAGATCTGGCGTGTCTCTTAGTCCCAGCCATATCTTCTCTCCATTCTTTTGAAGTGGTATTCTCTAAGAGGTTCATGGCAGAAGACAGCTTCTGCTTTTGCCACCACCATCCTTTGTTTTTCTTAGGAAAATATTTTGCTGTTGATCTGTTGCTCCTTACAGGAACAACAGTCCCTATCAGAATAAATGGCAATTTCTGAGCAGAATTCATTATTTACTCTTGTGTGAGAGGTGTTAACAGCTCTAGTAGAAGGAGCTTAGGTAAGAATATTTGATGCAACTACCAGGAATGTTGCCTTGGTAGTCTTGGATCTAAGTAACAAGGGCTTCTAAAAAGTATGACAACTTCAACACTGTCAGTCTCCATATAGACACTAAATATACAAATCCATCAAGAAAATGTTCTCACAGTGAAATCCAGCTGGACCCCTTTTGACTTTAGCATCCACAGGAAGAGGGGATTCACATGTGCAAAATGTCAGCATAACAGTATTTTTTGGAATTGACAGCCCTTTCATCCTCAGAATAGTTGATGGACAGCACTCATATATTAGTTCTACAGCCCAAACACTTTTAGGTCAGACACAGGCTCATTTGTAAAGTGTTGCTGCACATTTGTTGGGAACCTTCATCCAAACAGCTGCTTTCCTTTGCAGCTGTGCTGTTGATCTGACCTGACACACGAACACCATTTTGTGCCCATCTGAACTTGTGATCAGATAAAACAGGCAAGTGGAAAGCTAGGGATGATGTTATCCACTGCAGTTTTTAGAACCAAAGGAAAACCTTTCTCATTCCAGTTGACACTTTAAGGTTGGCTATTTTGAAGTCCTGAAGTCCCTATGGTCAGCACTGTACCAGCACATAGTGACGTGGACTCAAGACCTAAAAAGGATGCTTGTAAGGTAGAAGGTGGAACAGTCCCTGGGGATTAGGATACTGAAGGGATACTGAAGTAGTACTTTTCTATTTTGTAGTTCTAAGCTTCGTGTATTTTTGGTGAACCTAAAGAGTCATGACTGTGCATTTTTTTTTTTTAAGCAGTAATTTTCCCAAGCTCTGGAGTATGAAATCAAGAAAGGAGTTTTACTTAGCTTGACTGTGCTGGGGGAGAGGTGTTATCAGACAAGATTTTGAGGGAAAGTGTTCAAAGGTAGCTAGTTAGGTCCCAGCACGAGGATGATCTTGCTGTAGTAGACGTGGTAGAGTGTCGCATTAGCATGAATACACTGCTCCCAGTGTCTGGGCTAGCAGAAATGTTTATTGCTATTGCTTTGCTGGGTAGATTTGTCACACAGAAAGACTTCCTCTACCTCAGCTGTTTTGTGTTGGACTAAACACCTACATGCAGATTTTCTGAGTTTAAAATCTTCCTTCCAGAAAGTCTGCTTGTCCCTTATTCGCCCCTGCTCTACTGTGGGAGCAAAAAGAAAAAAAAATTCAGCTGTTTGGGAATGGTTTTAAGGACACTCATTTTTTTTTACAATGAACAAATATCTCACTTTTCCCTTGCACTTTATTTTTTCTTTCCCCTTGCAAGTGCATGTGGCTATCCCCAAGAAGTGTATGTGGTTCCTGTGCCCTATGCATCAACCAGAAGACAAGTTAGAACCACTGAAATGCCTTTAGTTATTAGACTATGAGCTTATAACAGAAATAAATATTTGAGAGAGAGAGAGAATTTTCAGGTGTACAATTTTTCTTGTTACTGTACAGTTTAGAATATTTTTTGGTCCATCTTCCTTCTGTCTGTCTTGCTGTTAATAATAAGATTGGTTTGTACCACTTGGCTTCAGCAGTCCTTGAAACTCTCCAGGGTTGTAAAGCTTTAAACAGTTGCACAGGTCTTTAATTGTAAATTAGTTTTGACAGGACTGCTAAGACAAAGGCCTGGCCCATCCCATCGTGATGCTAGCCGACAACCCCTTACTGCTCCTGGAGCAAGGAAACATGTGGAAGGAATTGTTCTTTTACATTTCACAGCTTGTCATTTCCTCTGCAGGGCAACCTCTGACCTCCCCAAAAGATCCTGACACCCATAAGGGAAGTATTCCCACTGTTGTAAAGGAAGTGGAAAAGCAGTTTAATGCTGCGAAAGGAGGAGAAGCGTGTGTGTCAGAAGAAGCTGTGAGGAAAAGAGAAGAGCTTAAAATGCTTCCAGCAGGTTAGGAGTTTTATTGTGTTACTTAATTTACTGGAAGTTTGCAAGTAGATCTGCCTGGCATGTGTGTAAATATCCCCATTTGCCTTCCCCCTCACCCTGTGATATCATCTCATCATTATTTCACCAGGCAAAGGAAGTGATGGAAGAGTTTAAATCAATTGTTAGGGATCAAAAGCAGCTTAGGCAAAAAGGTACAGAAGCAGTGGAGTCCCCTGTCTAAAATATGTTTGTAGGCCAAATGTGTTAGTAATTACAAGGTGTGTGTGCAGTGCACTGACAACATTAGATTATAGCTGGTGTTTCCGTGACATTTTTACATCCTTTCATTTTATTTGGTCATTTATATCCATGGATCACAACATGTTGCTGTTAAGTGCTTGGGAAGTACTTTTTTCTTCCTGCAGCACATTAATAGCAGTATCCTTTGTTAATTGTGCTGAGCTAAATTGCATAAAAGTGCCTGTCTGTATTTACATCAGGTAACATTTGCTTCTGGGGCATGGGATTTTTTCCAAAGTCAAAGCCTAGCAAAGTTACTATGGTGGTTTTTTATTCTCTCGATATTTTTTGTTTATTTTTTATTGGTTGTTTTGGGGATTTTTTGTTAGTTTGGTTTTTGTTTTGTTTTGAAGTCCCAGGTAAAATGTCTTTATCTGAGAATTGAGTAATATAACCCCTAAGTCCTCTCCTAAACTCAAAGACCACCGTGATGGCCAGAGGAGGATTTACCATGGGGCAGGGATTTGAAGGTACTAAGGATATCTGGATATCTACTCCCACTTCATAGCCTAGGCCAGTACGACAAGATGAAAGTGCAAGTGGGAATAAGTTAATCACACCTTTTGGAGGGAGAGGGTGACTTTCCTTCTGTACAAGGAAGCTGTAATAGGTCATGGTTAGACACTGAACTGTGAAATATTAGGTAAGAGAGAGCTACCTGAGGTCTGACAGCTAACTCTTATCTGTGTAAATAGTAGCTTCTTATCTTCTTCAAGTCTGTGGGCTCCCTGAAATAATGCAGTAGAATTTTGGATGAATGTTATTTTGAAGCTAATGCCAACTTCCCTTTCACAGCAACCCATGAAATGTCATTCAAAAACAATTTCTTTGGAGCCATCTTTCTCTGTTGACTATCCAGGAAGGCTAGAACCATGTATCTGCTATAATAGGTGCACATGCTGAGTATCTCATGTTAAGTGGGCACAGATAGAGGTAGGAGCTAGTATGGCATTGCCAAGACAGGATTCATAAATGCTGAATATTGACACTTACTATCATAGATGAGTGAGAAGTAGAATATAGAGCTGTTGTCATTTTTTGTTAAAAGGGTGTTTGTGACAAAATGTTAAGCATATTACAGAAAAATTTTTAATATTTCAAGGGTTCCCATTACATGCCCTGATAACATCAACACCTAACATGTCTTTTCTAGATGTTGGTTCTTCTAAGGATATGAACAGAGCCCTGGCTTAAAAATTTTGTTCAACTTCTACATTAGTAGAATCTACTTTGAAATTTATTTTGTTCATTTACCCAACATTAGTTATGCAAAGCAACTTAAAATACTCAAAATAGTTAAAACTTAAGCGGCCTACATGAACAAAAGGGTTTTAAAATAATGCTTAGTGGTGTTTGACATTTGCTTTTGTTTACTTTTAATTTTTTTCTGATTTCGTTTCCTTGCCAACATTTGGATGTTTCCACCTTTAGAGTGTGTCTCAAAACTCAATTTTTAGTTGTGCAGGTAGACAGGTATTCCTTTTCCCCTCTTCCCATCACTAATGTTTATCTAGATCTAAAACTAGCATGTTGAATTTTTATTCAAAACATTTACGTGGAGTTTGACACAGATCCAGTGGCAAATAGTGCATTTTAGAGCCCACATTTTCAATTCAAGATCGCCTCTTACAAATACCCTGAAATTATGCAGTTACAGAAGTAGCCTGATTTGGAAATTACTGAATTACCACAATCTTTATCAAAGCAAGGTTCAAAGGGCATAATTTTGCATCATCATCAGATCTGACTGGATATATGAAAGAGAAAATACTATAATTGACTGAGGACTAAAAAAAAAAAAAAAAAATTAAAAAATTCTGAGTTTACCTGAACTACAAGCTGATCTCCAAATTATGCACGCACTTTGAATTAGGTGAAAAATTTTTTTTGCTTATTTTTATTCATGAGACAACAGAAATTTTCCTTGATGAGCTCAGTTTCTGGTACTGTATATATTGCAAAATATTTTAATGAAAAACTTGTTTCAGAAGTCACATCACTAAATAATTGGTCTTCTGTGATGGAACGTTGTTAGTAATGTTTACACTAAAATCACTATCTGCACTCAAAATGATGGAAAGAAAAAAAGCTTCATTTTGAAATGCCCAGATACTTTCTGCAGGATGACATATAAACTAGGATTTGTACTGTACTGGACGTTTAATTTGAAGCTTCAACAGTGCCTGTATTTTTTTCTCCACCAAAACTCATCCCAGCAGGCACCTTTTCCCCAGCCTTTCTCTCATATGAAGCCTAATTTCTCTTTTCAAAGCCCCCAGTTATGCATGCACCACAAGTAATACCTCTGGAAACTCATGAAGTATTTCTCATAAATATTGTTAGTCTTGGTCAAACTGTTACAAGCAAGTGGCATTCTGCTCATTTTTGAGGTTTGACAGAACCTCTGTGATTCCTTCAGCTCTTTATTTATCACCTTTCTAGGGCATACCCAGGATAAAATTTTAGCTCCTATTTTCAGATCTTCTACCTCAGAAGGAGTCTTTTGTTTGATGTCCGTCTTCTAAAACAAACTGAGTATTGAAAATAAGATGTTCAATATTGTTCATATTTAAGGTTTCAAATTCAACACCCTTTCTGCATTTGTGGAGAAATGTTGGGAAGCGAATTTTGTCCTTTTGTGACATCAAAAGACATTTCTGTCAGAACAAAGCTTCAGAATAATGTCTAAGCAAAGATGGCATCAGACTAACCAAGGAGCTTATTACAGATTCAGAATTTATTAAAATGTTCCTTCAATATCAAAATACTAAACAAAAAACCAGCTTCATTCTAATTTTATCATTGCCTTTGGAGAGGAGGCTTTACATTTGTTAAAATGTGTTTATATAAGTGAGAAATTGTTTCATTAGAGGATTGTATTTATGCTCACAACATTTCAGAAACAATTTTATGAAAACCAGTGAATCTTCATTGTAATATTTCCCCTTATACTGTAATGATGCTCTTTCCCTACTGAGGTGCTGTTTGCTTCCACATAAAATTTGTATGCAGATGCAAAAATATTTACCTAAACAAAGAGACAAACAAACCCCCAAAAAACAAATCAAAACAAAACAAAAAACCAATCCAAACCAAGAAAAGGCTGTTTTTCCTCACGGGTGCCACTTTAAAGGAAACAAAGTGATATTATAAAATGAAGATTGCTTGGGCCTCATTTTTTAATACAGGTAGGGCCCCAGAGGCAGAGCCTCATATGGTGGAAACTTCTTTCTGTGCTGGTCTTTTCCTTCTCTGAGCAGGACTGCATAAAGGATTGCATTGATTTTTCCAATTAGGATCAAAGTCAGGTTCTGGTTCTGAAATCCTCACAATTCAAACTCTTAAATTTTCCAGCTCTTGCCGTGCTACTTGATTTCCCATAGACCAGAGCATTACTAGGAAGGGAGTCTAAATAGGATCTTAATCTTATTTTCTGTCCCTACTGTGGTGATTTCTTTGTCTTCTGCTCCACTCTTGGATTGTACCACTCTATAACCCTTTCCTACTAACTTAAAAAGAGATTGCAGCTATCAGAAGGCACTGAACTTCTCTTCTTTGGCCCCATATAAATCAGAAGTAGTTCCCATCAAATTTGTGCAAGGTAATTTCCTAGCTGTGCAATTTCTTTTTGCCCATATTTTAAAAAAATCATTTAGACTCCCCATGCCCCCCAAACATAAATAATAAATATTCTGCAGTATCAGACCTATATGCATTTAGGGTGAAGCTGAGCAAGGGGATATACTTTAAATGTACATATCAAGTATTAATGGGCCAGTTACCAGGGCCAGACTAAATAACTGGGCTGACATGAAATCTTCAACACAGAGTGGGGTCCCCACTGTTCAGTGGTGTCGCCCCAAACATTGGTTACATTCTACAGGTTCACTCCTGTTGCACCACAGTACTTGTTACACAAGACATAACCAAAGATGGTAACTTCCAGGCTGAAGGCAGAGGGTAAAAAATAAGTTTTATTCTCCAAGGGTTTGGAAGCAGAAAGACACCCTCTAAATGCTGATTTTAAAGGCCATGCTATTACGCTCTGCTATTGCCCTGAGAAGGCTGATGTGGAGAAAGGTAACAGAGTAGCAATAATGCTTTTGTTTCCAACCTCTTTCCATGGTATTTTAAAAACTCAGGTCCCAGAAGAGCTCAGGGATTTTGTACCAGTAACCCTTTCTTTGTATCCTTTATCAGGCATGATCCGTGTGGTATCTAAACTGTTTGGTTGGGACTTAATATGACCCAGAAATGACTGCTCTCAGCATTGTCAAGGTCTGCAAATAATCTTCATATCACCTCGATTTTCCAAATCCGGACATTGGTTTTGTCATGCCCATTCCACAATGGTGGGAAAAAATGCCACCCTATTTTTCCTATTTGTCTTATATGAATGTAGACATTTAAATTATTCTGCTGGACTTCTTATTAATAGCTGATCACAGATTTATAACTTTGGGTTAAGAATCTTATTGCCTTTTCCATGCTCTGGTGTAATCATATTTTCCTGCTTTTATGCGTATGTTTCTTGACTTCCAAATAAATCCATTAACAGAGAGCCTACATCTGCCACTGTGCCTTTGTAACAGCTATGATACCTGTCTCTGATCATTCTTTCTTGGTGCTGTTTTCTCCTCCTCAAATTGTTCATTTTTATCATGAATGATATTATGTTCCCCTGTCAGGGAACAAAATGTATTTTGAGTCAATTTACTAAAATAGTCACTGCTAAGTGTTATATCTGGACAAAGTTGACACCTTTGACATTTTCTAAAATGGCAAAAATAACTGTATTTAAGGTATGATTTATGGGTACTCTATGTCAAAGGAATTTCTATGCTATTACAGTTTCTGATGCAGCAGTCCCACCTCTTTCAATGGAGAAATTGCTGATAGTGCAGCTAATTAATGCATTATTAGGATTCTGTGGTCAATTATAAAAAGTTATACAAAAGTAAAATGCAATTTAATAATAAAGAATGGTGTGGTTCTCGTTTCTCTCTCAGAACTGCTTTGTTTTTAGCATGTGGAAGAAAATTTCTACACAGCTCAGTTTTATAAGACACATTCCCTTCCCCCCAACCACTAAGTAGGAGCAACTCCTATGATTAAAAAGTAGACTGGAGTCTTTAAATGTCTTTCTGATTGCTGGCCTCTATTAAAAACTTCTTAAAATAATAGATAGGTTTAATTCCTCAAGCCAAAGAAAAATTGTATCATCTTAAGTATTTTCCATATTTATTATATTGATGAGATTTGGCTACTGAGAAAAAAAGGAAGTAAAATCTCTTGTATTGCAAGTTTTAAATGTACCAGGCTAAGGTTTACTTAATTAGAACCTCCAGGCAATAAAGGAGCCCTTTTTTAAATTCTGTGAATCTTAATATGCTAAATAATGCAAAGCTTCAACTCTTCAAGCATGAGACACACATCTGGCAGCTTAACATTTAAATTACAGAAAAAAAACCACTTCAGTAGTAATTTTCATGAAGAAAAGAATGGGAAATGTATTACAACTAAATTTAATTTCTTTTTAGATTTTTCATCCTGTCTAATTGCAGGCATTTCCCATATCCTCTTTTATTTATTTATTTTCATACAGATTTTTTCTGTACTTTTTATTGATCTTTAATTTGAGCAGCTTCTAACTGTTACAGCTATTGAAGAATTACATTGTGTTTTTACTTAGCAAAAATTGTTCAGAGAAATCTATGAGGAATTAAAGTAATGAGCTCACTGGTATACAAAGAAAAGAGCATTCAGAGCCTTACAAATAAAATGTAAAAAGAGCACGTCATGATTAAATAACAGACTTGAGATCCTTCTCCCTCCCATTTCTTAAATGAGGAGTATTATTGTTTTCTTTATTCTTTTTATTGTCCTTTATTTTTTTTGCCAAGATAATTACTACTTTATTCATTTGACTCCAAAAACATTGTTAAAGTATTCATCATTTCAGCAAGGCTGTTTGGAAACCCATTTTTGTGCACTGGGGAAAAAAAAAATGAAGAAGAAAAATTAAACAAAGAAAACCACAAGAACCATCTTTACAAAGGTATATTTATATTTTAATGTGTTTTTTTAGGTCCATACAGGTAACCCATATACAAAATATGTAGAGACAGTTTGAACAGGTTATACTGCATGTGTGCACACACGTGACATAGCCAGCCAGCAGTATTTTAAGCTGTCTTGCTGATTTCAGTAGGCCTCTCCTTTCACCCCAGATGATGTAAATATCTGTAAATTCCTCATTCCTCGACATAGATACACCTGTACATGAGTCTATATATATGTAAAAAGTAAGAAATATATCCATAGGTGTGTACACAAACACAGACTTAAAACTGTGATATGGTATGTGCATATATTGTGTATCAACCACTGTAACACCTAAGAGCAGATCCTTCCTGTACTGTGATTTTAAATAAACTTGACTGTCTTTTACTGTGTGTAACTCAACATATCTTAAAAAGAAAATAATAGAAATAATTGTTAAGTGTGTTTTTGGGTTATTCTCCATGTGCTGCACATTGAAACATGTAATACAGACTTTTATTTTTGCCACACCACTACTTACTATGATGTGGGAGTAATTTTTGTCCATTCCACAGATCACAGCTCCAGTGCTTTTCAGGAGCTTGAGGGATGCGTGACTTGTGTTTTCTAAGAAAAGTTTATTCTAGTACTCTGTGTCCCTGTGCCTCATTCTTGATCCACAACTATGCCCCTATAAAAAAATTCACCTCCTTCTGTCTTCTGAAGAACACTTCCCAGGGTGTTTAAAATACCCTCCTGTGCCACTCTTGTCATGTCTATTATTTCTTTATTTCTAATTTTCCCCCTCTTTATTTCTAATTTTTCATCTAGGCAATTGTTATTTCCAACACCACAGCATCTGAGGTCTTCTCTGCATTTATCTCACTAACACTTGCAGAATGTAGGAGAGAAATAGCCACCCATTTGTAACTCAGATGAAGGGGAGAAATGATCGGCCTGGAGTTAGTCAGCATCTTTTTGGGAGAGGGACCAAAACCCAGCTGAGTCCTTTCCAGAGGTTTACCTTGTGCACAAATATAAAATTAATTTAGAATTGGTTTTATTTGTGGTTTTTTTCCTTACAGAGGATTACCAAGATTGCCGTGGCAATGCAGACAAGCACTGTGGCTCGTTTTGGCTGAAGGAGGTCCAAGAAGGACATCACAAGGTACTGGTTTTGATGTGAACATCATCATCTCCCTTAAAGCTCACAGAGAAGCCACTGGAGCTTGTGTCATTTGAGAACGATTTGTGGTCTTGCTTGCTCTGGTTGTTGTGTTTCTTTAATCTATCCCTGTGAATTTTTTAATAGCCACAATAAGGCTTCACATGACCAGGTGTATTGCTGTCTCCTGTATAGTTAATCTCTCTAGCAATGAAACTTCAAAGGAGGAAAGACCACCAAGCAATCAAACAACAGAAGCTTGATCAAGCTGCAGGATGATATAACTTCAGTAATGTGTAAACATGACATATGTTTCATATGCATCCATAAACTTCAAGCTCTCGTGTACTTGTGCAGAGGACCATCAGAAAATTTTAGTATCTGTATTTGTAGTATCCTGGCCAAGGACACCATCAATTTTTGAACAGATATTGTGTCCTCAGTACAAGTAACCATGGAATTTTGTCTGCCATATGATAACACTTTCAGGGTTAGATGCTACAGAAACTTTCAGATTTAATGTAGATCCTGAGAAACAACACACGAAGAAGATTTTGTATTCCTGAAAATTGCTTCCCTCTGCACTGTATTATTAAATTAGGTATTTCCAATGATAGTTGCAATTTTTTCTCAGTAAGTGTTACTCCATTTCTATCCTTAAATCAGTATGGCTGCAGTGAATGAACTTAAAGAATGAACATTCAAATTAATAATTCTGGTTAATTGTCTCACCCTGTTCTAGACACACTCTGAAGCATTTTTAATCCTTTTAATTGCCCATAACAAAAAATCGCCACAGTACTCAGTACCCAAAAACTTGTACAGTGTAGCACAAATACTCAATAGCTGGGGATTATAATTACAACTTTCAACTTTAGTAGAGTGATGATCTACATTTGTGAGCAAAACCAGATTGGCCAGCTGGATATTCCCTTGTCTTTCGATGTCTAAGTTTCCATGTGATTTATTTTTCCAGGAAGATAAAGGTAACTTGAAGAAAACAGAGTTTCATGTAAGTTTAGCTGCAGACTGAGGTGTGCATGTGTGAGTATGTTCAGCCTTATATCTAGAGGAGGGATGATTTAAGGAGCAATGGAGTGGGTGTAATGGGCAAAGCAACCCAGCCCAACCCATGGGAGTGGCAGAGTGAAATGCATTTCCTACAATCCCATAATAGCACAATGCCTTTGAACAAAATGCCGTAGTCTTATAGGAACTTCAGTTGTGGGCGGCTCTCAAAGCCACATTAAAGTGACCTGGTTTCAGTGAGGTGCATAAACCCATGGGCAATTCAGCACTGTCTAGCCCCTTTGGTCTCACTGAAATGACTCACAAGCTTACAGTTATTGACATGTTTGAATAGATTCCTGAACTGAGCCTCTTATGGGAATCCTTCTGCACAAAAGAAATGTGAGCATGTGAAATCTCCTTTCAGAGGTTGTGAGAGCCCCTCATTTTTAATGGGGTGAATGAATCCTAATGTTCAGAAAAAATCTTGTTTTAGCATGTTCAAGATTTAGGCATTTGGCCTGATTTATATAATTTGGGCCTAACTGTATCTCTGGAAAGCATCTTCTAAAATGACTTTACCTAACAACTGTATATAGGAAATAATGACAAACTAATGCAAAGAACATACTTAAAGAAAAAGACAGACGTTCAAGTTCATGTTTATTCTCCTCAAAGTCCCTTTTCTTTTTGTAAACAGATATTTTATTTTATTTTAAAAAAATATTTAATTTTTTATTTTTCATTTTTATTTTAAAAATGTTTTATTATTTTTATGTTTATTTTATATTTATTTTTAAAATTTCTTAATTATTTTATTTTATTTTATTTTATTTTATTTTATTTTATTTTATTTTATTTTATTTTATTTTATTTTGAAAAGGAATGAGAAATTCTTTGAATCTGACCTCAAGTTTTTGGGGAATATAGATTTCTCTACTTTGCCCTCCCTACCCCAAATTCATGCTAAAGAGTTGCAAAACTCTCCCTCTAAGTGTATTCTGAGTGATGGGCATTAGCAACAATTAAGCTTTTTTTACAATGAGTGTGCAAATCACTGCATGTATTCAGATATTGGATGGTAACAATAAAAGAGAGAATGCTCACAGTCTGTGACTTCTGAAAGAAGGAAAACATATTCTGTGGTTATAATGCCAACCTCATGCAGATGACTGAGTTCCTTCCTTTTGTACCTCAGACATGAAAACACAATCTCAGAGAAATTAACTCATAATACTCTTTAACACCTTTGGGATTTATGTCTTAAATAATGTCTTTACATGTACTTTGCACAGGAATAGTTTAATGGAGAAAATATCACTGCAAACAAGGCACCTTGCACACACTATGGATTCTGAAACCTCGTCTTCTAGGAATAAAGATGGGCAGTTGTAGTTGAAATTCAAAATGTGCATGAGATCCATGATTCTGAATCCAAGACTCAGAATACAAATTCACTTTTTAAAGCAAAATAGTTTACAGAGTTAAAAAAACCCCAAACACAAAAACCAAAAACCAGCAAATCTAAGCAAAAAAACTTTGTAGTTTTCATAATTAGCAAAGCGTAAAGTGATGTGACTGCACCAATGCATCCATCCACTTTTCCTCTCTCGCCTTGTTCACTAAACGTTAGCAAACCCTTTGCAGAGTTTGGTATTGTGCCTGGGAAGGTATTAATAGATTTCACCATGGAAGTCACCTGCAGATATTTGTCTGGTAAATTATGACCTCATTGTGTTTCCTGGTGGAAGTGATATTTGGCTCTCTGTCCAGGGGCAATAATGCCAAACATCCAGGGAATCTGGTAGTCAGTTCAGAGAGGTGATGCCCGTGCTGAATCAGACCCTGTGCATGCAGAGGTGTTATTCCAGGGATGAGCCAAATCAGGATCCTCTACTTTGTAGAGTAGTTTAAATGAGCATAAGCTGGCACCAGCACTGAAGGATGAGGTACTGTCCCTCTCCTTTGTGCTGGCAGCTGGGGCAGAGTGGCCTGGATCAGTATGAGTCCAGCTGAGAGTTAACCCAGTTAATAAAAAAAAGGGAAAAAAAAAAAGAATCCAAACAGTGCTAACTCAATTCCCAGGTCAGTTCCTTCCATACGGCTTACTTGCATCCAGATTTTTGCACTGCCAGAGTGTGATGTCCAAGACTGGAAAAATCAAGCAAGTGGAGGAAGAGTAGTGGCTGACTGCTGGTGTCACCATGTGCTTGCACCTCCTTGAGAGGGTTTGTCACAGCCCCATAGGAGCATAAATCAGCTCACAGAAAAATATTCTGTGTGCAGCTCCACGCCCCACCATTTTAGAAGGTTAAAAATGTCCTTGGATGTGTCCAGAGGAGGGGAAATAGGGTGCTGGAAGGCAAGTCCTGTCAGGAATGGCAGAGGACTTGTCTTGCTTGGAGAAAAGCAGATTTAGGGGAACTTTGTTCTCTTCAGCCTACTGGGGAGAGAAGGTGGAAAGGGAGGTGCTGAGATCTTCTCGCTCATATCCAGCAACAGGATATATGTGAATGTTTCAAAGATGCACCAGGGGAGGTTCAGACTGGACAGCAGGAAGCAATTCTTTACTGAGAGGGTGGCCAAAAGCCTGGAACAGGCTTCCTGGAGAGGTGGTTGATGCCCGCAGCCTGTCAGTGTTTAAGAGGCATTTGGACAGTGTCCTTAACAGCATGCTGTAACTTTTGGTCAGCCCTGAATTGCACCACAGATGCTTGTTTTAGGTCCCTTCCAATTGAAATAGACTAGTCTATTCAGTGTTTTGAATACATGCTCAAAGCAGCTTTGCCACTGCTGTTTCCATGTTTGTTATAGAATAAAAACAAAGCTAGAATTCAAAACAGAGAAAGTGGCACCTCTTACTTTGCTAGCTGTGTCCTGCTAATTGCCTTAGTATTCTAACTTGTTTCTTATTTTCATTTAAAGGTCAGCAGGAATAACCCACCTGACCAATGCTGCGAATTAAAATCGGGTTCAGAGAACAATGCAAGCCAAGAAGAAGGGAAAACATCTGAAGAGAGCAATTTTTATTTGGAAGACTTGGAGAAATATACATTTTCTGTGTGGTAAGTTATCTCAGCATCAAACAGTTTCACAACCCGAAAGTTTGCCTAGCCATGTGTGCATTACAGAGGCTTCTACCTTTAGATGAAAGTTTTTGGGCTAAAAAAACCCCAAAAAACAAAACACAAAACCCATGGTATTTTCTTGGACTTCTTAGTATTATTTATGATTGAAGTTGAATTAGAAAAATTAGAAGAACTTTTTGCCTGAGAATGCAATTTTGGCAGTGCTACATTGTTTTGAGAAGCTGTGTCAGGGGAATAAAGGCAAAAGATTTTCAGCATAATCTTTTCAGCATTTTAGGAGCAATACCCTACCTTTTTTGGATGTTACTTTAAATATTATTATTGTTCTCTGTTATAAAATGCACATATGGGGAATGACTTAAAATGAACAGATAAATTAAAGTGAAATTAAAAAGACTACATCAAAATGAAATCTTTTCATTTACTTATAATTATATATCCTGGAATATCATCTTCTAGGTAATTGCAAAAGTTGGACAGTTATTGGTAATTAGTAAAAAACAATGAAGACCCAATCCTTTACTAAATGAAATGATCTGATAATCTTTCATATAGCTCCCTATTGTGCTTTGAACATTCAAAATCCAGCTGTAATGTACATTTCTGGAACCCATCATCTTCTCCAAATCAGCCCCTAGAGTTTCAAATTAAGCATCCAGAAAACAAACATCAGAGTAGGGTGTACGTCTATGAAAATTTAATTTTAAATCACTTCCCTATCAAAACATGAGACAGGATTATCTCACCAGCAAGCCAAGCAGCCCTCACCATCTCTAGTGCTGTCTATGCCCTGCTCTCGTTGGCCTTGGTGCCTTTAAAATTGGCAGGAAGTCAGGCAAAGACCTTACAGACACAAAGTGCATTTTCACTGTGGTAATCTGGACTCAGCCCTAGAGATGATTAACCCTGAGTATTAGAGAAGGCATAAATCAGGCAGGAGAATAGCACACACTCATATAATTAGGCTTTCATAATTCTGCTGGATTAATTATGGTTATTTTGGACAATTAAGGACTCCCCCATCCTGGCCATAATATAAGAATAGATTTTAGAGCAGCAGTGCTCATCCAAATATCCTTGCCAGCTCCCACTGTTTCATTTTACCTACCTCAATTTTCAAATTAAATTAACCAAATTATTATCAATTATCTATCTCAAGTTGCTTGCTTTCTGCAGTGGTGAACTTCACTTTCTCTCTTCCATGTCTTGTACAGTTACAGTGATAGAATGGATATTTAATTGTATATGCCCTATCCATGGAAGTGTTCAAGGCCAGCTTGGATGGAGTCCTGGGCCTCCTGGTCTGGCAGAATATGTCCCTACCCATGGCAGAGGGTTTGGAACTAAGCAGCTTTTAGGGTCCCTGCTAACCCAAACCATTCTGTGATTCTGTCTAAAGTTAGCAACGTTCATCCTTTATTCTTTTCAAAGTTGTTCTGCTTAAAATGTTGGGAGAGGGGCTCAACTCCACACTTATCAACCTGGCCCCAGGCTTTGAGCTCCATGACTTTTCAAATTCCATAAGGTCTGGAGAAGCAGAGCAGAGAGGCACTTATCTCTGTTGGCATGCACCTCACCTTTTGATTTGGAGCATAAGAGAAAACATCTGCCCTTTCTTCCATTTTGTTTTCTGTTTCTCTTCTTTGTCCTTTCCTAGGGAGCCCAGCTGTCCCTGAGCCCCATGTCTGCAGGGACATTGACTTTGCCAGGATTCCCTGGGCAGGCAGAGTTATATCTGGGCACAGGAAGTTACAGGGCATGAACCAGATCTTCCTGGTACAAAACAAAAGCAACAAGGCATGTGTTAGGGTGCTGCCTGTCCTAGCTGAGGCCAGTATTTTGTAATTTCAATATGCCATTCTATTTACTGCATCCATCATCCTGTTGGAAATAAGGACCAGTACTTGCTTTATTTACATATTTGTTATGTTCAAGTCCTATGATGTTAGAACTAAACAGAATTTAGAGGGAATCTCTTTGCTTTCTGCTTCACTTGTGGTCATCCTATTTGTCAGAAAGGAAAAAAACTAGGAAAATTGAATTATTCCACTCTTGGTCAAGTAATATAGGTGTTACACATAGCATGTAGTGTAAAGAATCTATAATAATATAATATAATAATGTATTAATAATCTATTTTTTTACTATAGAATTAATTCAGGTAATTTACTTGGGAATCTGATACCTTGTGAGTTGTTAATTCCATTTGTTACTGTACCAGCATGATGTTTCCATTGTTACTCGTTTCTGTCTGTCTCCTCCTTTCCTTCTCTCCCACTTTCTCCATCAAAGGGCATCAACTCCTCTTTGTCTGTTTCCAGACCTTCCTCTCTACTACAATTGCTACCTTTTAAAAAATGCAATGCAAGATAATTAGCTACTACAAAAATTTTAATAGCACTGTAGATCTGGGGGCAGCTTAGATCTCCATAAACTTCAGAGTTTTAGATGCTCCAAGATGCAATCTGAGCAATTTCCTTGATCTTTTATTGCAGCTGGTAAATCATTTATTGGGCTAGGTTATTTTACAAAATCCTCTTTAGAAACAAAATCCCATAAAATGTATTTATCATAAAGTACTGTATGACCAGCAGTCTTCAAAGCTGTGCATACCCTGTATTAATTAAAAGCTAGTGTTGTACTGTGACAAGTTAAAAGTATCCACTGTCTCAGTCTCTCTCTTTCCCCCCCACCCGCTGCCTCTCCCAATGATTTTTTTCTCTCTTCTTTTCCTTCTCTCATATGCTCTTCTCTTTTAAGGCTTGCCAAAGGGGAGATTGGTGAGTAAGAACAAGATATTCTTTTGTGATCACAAATATTTTTCTGATAATTGTAATTTTTTTTTCTTCCATTGCTAGAGCATGCTTGTCCTTTTCCATTCATATTAATTTGACAGTGGTGTCTCACATCCGTAGGCCCTAGTCAAACCTCCTTACAGTGGCCATTATACACTTAGGTAATAAAAAGATAATTTTGGCTGCAGAAGCCCACGGGCTTCAGCTTCCATCTCACAGGGTGCCTTTCCCTCTGTGCCCATGTACAGCCTTGCTCTGAGCAGCAGGCTTTTGCTTGGGTCCACTGAGTTGAGGGTGAGGGGGATGAGTCCAAAAGATGAGATGGGGCAAAGAGATTAAGACAACAGGCAGATGTGGTTGCACATTTCAGGGCCATTCCTGCTGCAGCCACAACCTGGTTGGTGCCAGGTGCTCACCAAGCGCTTTGCTGGCCCTCCTGGAGAGCCCACCCCAGCACCTTGCCTTGCACCACAGCATGGCTGAAGCTCCTTTATCTGAGATTTGTGCTCCTGGAGTTAAAAGCCCGTGTAATCTGCAGCAGAACATCAATACTATCTGTGACTATTGTCTAAATAATATGGCTGACATCTGTAACCTTGAGAGAAAAGGAGGAAATTTTGGAGGAATTTTGACCTTGCAGACCAAAACCTGCTCTCAGAAGCTCTCTAGCTCTCTTCTTCTGTTCCCTGAAAGAAAATTTGAGGGAAAAAATGTTCTTCATGACTGTCACTATAAAGCCAGATTTCCTGAACATGTATAAAAAAACAGATGTGAGAAATAATTTTAACGCTTCAGTGCTTTAACATTGCTTTTTATGTATAGTTCTGGAGGAGATGTGAAAAAATCCCAGATTTCAAAAACCACCATTTGTCTTAATACAAAAAAAAAAAAAAAACAACAACAACAAAAAAAAGATAATGACATACACTTTCTGTGACTTTAGGAATCTTCAGACTTGAGTTTAAATATAAAAACTAGCAGTTTCAATTGCCAACAACTTATCATCAAACACCGCTCTCAAGGGTTAACATTACACACTAATATAAAAGTAACGATCATCCTTTGTCTCCATGCAATTAGCTTTTTAACAACGTGCCTGTAGCTCCTACCCAGGCTAAATGCTGCTTTGAAATATTTTCTCCTCTACTCCAAACGTGTTAAACTGACTCTGGCCAGCTTCTATAAAATCAATTAATTGTAGGGCACTGCCTTTTGTGGGGGAGTACCCAGTGCCCTGCACAGCAGTGCCAGGTGCTGCCCATGGTGGCTCAGCTGCAGCCTGGTCAGTGCAGCACCAGTGCAGGACCAGACAGCATCTTGATGCAGCAGACAAGCTGGTAAATCTTACCTAGAGTCATATTCTTGCATGTCTGGAATCCAGGGCGTTGGACCAGCCTTTGGTTCTCACTTGCACCCATCAGGAGCAGAAGCAGCCCTTAAAATGGGGTCTTGGCAGCGTGTCACAGCCTGGGTAGGGTGAACAAGGCTGAAGACCCCTTTACAACCCTGCCAATACACCTGTGGACTTTATGAATTTTATCAATTTTATTTCCAAATTGAGGAGGATACTGAGAGGCAGGAAGAGTTAACTGTAAAGAGCACAATACAGTACTCTTGTTTTTTATATAAAGACAATAAACTTTCCCTTTATAATACACATGTGATTTGACATTGAAATAAATGCAGATGCTTCTTTGCTTGGTGTATTCCCTGTTGTGCTTTCTAAAACACCTTCACATATGGTTTGCCTCATTCCTGTGAAAGTGCTTGTTGTTTATGTCATACAAACAGAACAGATTGAATTTATACCAAGTTAGGAGGGTGATGAATCCTACATTAGAGGAAAATCCTTGCCTGAGTGTTTTGAATTTGTTCAAAATTAGTGTTGCTTGTTAAAAATTGTCCTGGATTGTCCCTTGAGCTTTTCTAAAGATGTCATTAAAATTAAAAAAAAAAATATCTGTGGCTGCCTATAAATGCAACCTTTTATTCAAATATGTAACATTTACCTAAAATCAAAGGTCAGATTTTACCAGTTTTATAGCTGTCCTAGTAGCATCTGTTTCATGCACTACATATAAAATACTGCCATTAAGAGCGGATATTCAGCTTCCTTTGTGAAAAGCAGAATAACCCTTTATTGTGTGCTTTAAAAAGTGCTAATCTTTTAAAAATTTCTCA